TGTATTTTCTAACCACTGTGTTTTCCGATTGTTAATTTTGCAACAGTAACTATGTAACTAAACATTTTTCCTGAACCGAAATATAATTAAATGTCATTTGATGTCACTAACGCATTCAATTCGAATCGGATTACTCTACAAAATACAATTTTAATTTATTTGTCTATTTGAGAAACTTTTATTCTGTGTATTTCAATATCATAATATTGATTTATTTTATGACAACACGAAAATTTACGCGTCAATGAAGCGCTGAAATAGTTTGATGCATATTTTTTAATTAACCGCTTTGAAATCAAAAGTTCTCAACTTCGTTGTACAAGTTGCGCAATTTGCTCTTGAGAAAAATATCTAGCAAATACTATTTTATCGGAAAACTAAATGACACTCTCAACGTTCTTGTTTGAAATTTAATTAATCTTTTGATTGCTTTCCGCAAAAGACATTATTGATTTCTGTTAACAAACACCCTTTGAGGTATTTTTATATAAAAACGGCGTTTTTTTATAAAACTTTGCATATCTTGTCGACATCACATAGCTAAGATATTCAGTTCTTGTAACGGATATTTTCAGTTAACCAAATGTTGTGCTATTCCACATCACAATCGTTTCACGTGTATATAAAAATATATTTGTACTTATGGTATGCATTATTCTGCATACACGTTGATTATCGAATGAAAATAAAAAATAATCTTAAATTGTTCGCAAAAAACGTACAGTTAGTCTATCTTTTCAGTTCAGTAACTATATTTGTATTAAGGCAAAAAATTTTCCTTTTAATATTTTTCCAAAAAATTTGAGGGTATGTTGAAGTTTAGTCTTCAGACAACAACAATGTTATTATATTGTATAATATTATAAAAAAATATTAAAATTTAATATTTTATCTATGATGACATTTAATATTATCGTAGATAGTATCATGAAGGTTATTGATAGTTGAATATGTTAGAGGACGCCAAATGTTAAATTTCGATTTACATATTGATCTCCAGTTTATTTATTTTTCGAAAAATTACATTTTTTTTTTTTGTAAGCAAAATCTAATCATCTTGCTAAGTTTCGTAGTTACTTATTTTCAAAAAACCCTGACTTCATGGCTTCTGTTCTTGACTCTTTGTTTGATTGTCTATAAGTTTCAATCGTATCTCAACACATATATAAGAACTTAATGGACATACATCAAAAACACGTCCAGTCGTCTTTGAAACGTCTTCTTGCACTTTTTTATAAACAAAAATAAATTATATCATTGACAAAAAGGAAGTCAATATTGTGGCAAGCTGGATGTGTATAAATTGTACATTGTGTTCGCCGTAGGTTATTCGCTTAATAATTTTATAACGGACTGCGTTGTTGGTACATTATGTACATGATATAATAAATAGTAGTATTTGTAGAAAATTATCTCATAAAAAATAAGGCGTGCTATATTGTACTTAGTAAGAAGTATTAACGTAAACAATAGTTATTTTTTTATCGATAACCACTTGTGAACTTGTTTGCGTCTCGCGTACGGACATCACAAAAAATTATTGTAACGATGCGTAGAACATTATTTCATAGACATTAGTATGTGTTTAAGATACGGGTATTTTAAAAATGTACTTGTGCTTTGTTTGATTATAAGGCGATGATTTATTTCCTGTGCTCGCTCTATTGTAGATCTCAAGATCTATCAATTACTAACGTATACAGTCATTTATTCGCCGTGAAGTCAGTTTTTCGAATAATTATTTTACATGGTTTGTGGCTTGGTTTAAAACAATTCCACCGCCCCATTAATACTACCGGAACTAAGGTGACTAACGTATACAAGAGCCTGCAATGCACATTGCACAACAATATAATTATAATTATTCTATTGTTATGACTGATTCAATGATTACAAGGAGGGGGTGACATGATTTTCACCAACTCCAATTACTCTACGCTGTAGTTTGTAGAAAATATATACAGACTGTTGTTTTGTTAGTGCTATGTGGATTTTGTAAAAGAACAATAGTAAAAGGTTTGTCTACTAAACGTCTTATTGAGTCAGTTTTGCAGGATAAGTTATTTAGAATAGAAAAATTTTTGCCCATTGAAGTATATAAAATAACTGAATATTTTAGTTTGTAATGACGTTCGGATTTTTTTACTAATGAAGTAATTCAACGCCAGTCAATATTTAAATAGTCACACGTTGCATGTAAGATAACGTTATCTAATACAAAAGCTTAAAAATAAAGTAATAGTTATTAACATGCATTAAATTACTTCTAAAGAACAATTCAGAATTAAACACGAATGATTTCACTATTTATTGTATTGTACGTATACAGAATGATCGGTTTATCATAAACCACTCGATTACTCGCAAAATAAATATAATATTGGAAAAATATATTATTATTTTTTTATTTCATTTAGTTATGTACATTCTTTATTTATCAACTAATGATTACTTTTTAGAATCATCCATTATAACTTATATCAAATTAATTTTTCTATTGGAAATATACACATTTAACTAGCTTATAAAATAGGAAATAATCTAATAAAAAAAATTACAACTTTTGGATCAGTATTTCAAAAATTGCTAACATTTTAAACTCATAACGGGAGGTGAGGAATGGCGGCTGTTACTATTTATATCACTAGTCGATTCCCGGCTGTTCTCTTCGTCCATTTTAGGTATAAAAATGAGAATAACATTTAAAGTACTGGTCCATAAGTAGTTTACGACAAGTTAAATGTGTATGTTACCAATTAAAAAATAAAGTTGACACTCCTTTGCGTTATTAGGGATGATTCTAATAATTGTCGGCTGATAAATCAAGAATTATATGTAACTAAAAGAAATCAAACATTATTTTTCCAATATTGTGTTTATTTTGTGCCGTCGAATACAGACCAATACACGTTATTAGACGATTTATGGATGGTTAATTATTATATACTGGCTGGGGATTTATCTAACAAATAAATCGACTTCCATCGATTAATACCTATTTTGTACTTTTTAGATTGTGTTGAATTTTTCCATAATGAAGACATCTATTCATTAGAAAAATATTATATAATATATTATGTTTGGTTTGTGTGGTATTAACTCTCCCCTACAAATTCTATGATGGTAAAATTGAAATTATTTTAAGGAACTTTCTCAGTTAGTTTTGTCACAAATTGCGTTTTTGATAAAATTGAAATGTATACTTGGTATTGTTCGACTGAGAACTAGAACATATGTATTATTATTATTCGTTTTAGTCATAGAATTGTCGTCTAGAAAAATTGTGAAATCAATATAACTGTTAATTTGTTAGCGAACAGAATCTTCTCGATTACCATTAATGCACTTAGTGTGGTGGTGAAACGTATAATATTACTAAAACGCCTAAGTGTAATCTCGGATCTTGTAATGTTAGGCATCTAAGAATTAATTCGCGTGTAATGTGCAGACTTAATTTCGAGAATTAAATTCTTAAAAGTCTTTATATCTCAAGAAATGTGTACGTCATAGGGAAAAGCCATTGTGTGTTTTGGAACATGGTAAAACCGAGAATTCGTCTATCGTCAAGTACTTTTGTTGTAGAGCTGTGTTCGTGGTTTAGGATGTTTTAGGAGTAAAGATAACTCTATACATTTTCCCGTCTAAAAGTGTATTAGGCGTAAACAAACAGAATCAACATGTAAGGAACGGTGTTTCCTCACCTCATCCTCTTCTTAGTTTTTTTTTTTTTAGCCTTACACTTTTGTACTCCGGCAATTTTTAAACGTGCTTGTATATGCTAAAATCGTCTTTCGTTAAAGCCAGAGATGTATAAATATTTATATTTCTTTAAGTATTTTGACGTTCCTTACTTAGTTATATACTTCATGCTGAAGATTCGCTGAATTTAGTAATTGAGAATGTATTTGTGTAGTATTATGTAAAATGCCTCAGTAAATGATTTATAAAAAAAACTTATTGAGTTTTTAATTCGATTTTATCGATTGGAAAATGTTGCTTCCGCTAAACGCATTTACACGTTATATTTATATTTTATTAACACTAAAATCTTACTCCAACCAGATATAACTATCAAAAAGAAAACACCTTCTAAGTCTTACGCACACTTCACTTTGTCGTTTATCTTGACAGGAGTCTCGTAGTGTTTTACTATTTAACTACTGTTCTGTATTACGACAGCTGCACATATTTGAATTTTGTTCGTACAATGCTATTGACAGTAATGTATAAACTATTCTTCTCGATGACACCATCACGGTGCACTCTGATTTTGGCATTATTAGTCATAGACTGACAAAATTAGCAAAAATGAACTCTTCGCGCCGTTAATATTTGTAATTTATTACTGTAGTGATTAGGAATATTTAATTATGCACTGTAAAAATCTCACCCCTCGAACGCAATACGTTTAATAATAGATAGAGAAGGGCAATGGTAGCCGCCCTGAATTGGTTATAGGGATTCTAAATTTAAACGTGTTCAAATACAACTCGTTTAAGTAGTCTGCTGGCATTACAACGTGCGGTTCTGGACTGTTAAAATGCACTGTCGTCTATTCTAGTTAAAATTATAGTAAATTGACGTAGTCTACACGTGATTATTATTAGTGTGCACTATGATACAATAATTATGACACCGTTTAGTGAAAAATTATACCTATGCGGTCGGTTGTTAACGATAATTATCAATTACTTATTATAAGTTCGTGAAATCGGACGTTACCATAGAATTTACCGAATTATTCGCTCGCACTTGGTCTTAACGACGGGAATTTTTTTTTTCATTGACTGCTACATATGTTTTCTTTAAAAACAAACAAAATATATACTATTTTTTATTTTGTAAATACTTTTTAATAATTTTTAATGTTGAAAATTTAGATTATCGTTATAATGAGTTTGTAGTAAGGCACCTGTTACTATGCGATTTTACTTAATTCCGTTATTATAACCAACAAACGCCTCGCCTATAATGGAGTATTATTTGAATCAATTGTTTAGTTTTAAACATTGTTCCAGGGTTTGTTCCATGAACCTGACGAAACTCGTCTTGACCAAACCGCTGGGCCAGGAGATGTCGGCGTTGACCATTGCGGTTAAAATGCAAGTAAGTTCATGCGGAAATTTTTTAATTTGTATTATTTCCTTAATAAACGTGGTGTATTTTAGGGATCAAAAAGAACTCTTCGTACCAATGAATTACCGTTGACCGCAAACGGTTTATTGGAAATCGAGCTACAACTGAATTTTTGCCTACAGGTATAACTTTAAGGATCTCGTTTATATTTAAATTCATGTATATTATATAACTGAGTCAATTGCAATTGGACGACTCGTTTTAACATTGGATATTTAATATACATATGATAGTAAAGTTTAATTAATTTTCGTATATTCTAATACTCAACTGTTTGAATATTCCAATAAATAGCCATTTAAGCAAATAAAGGTCTTATAACCGTATAGATATTACCGTGTTCGAAGAAAGTTTCTCTGTAGTGTCAAAAACGAGAAAATATTACTAGCAAAATCTAATCTTTATGAATAAAATATAACTTGGAACAAATATTCACATTTGACTTGCGCTTTAGTTAAATTAATTTCATTCTGGACATTTTTGTTAGACAAGTTTTATAATAAATAATATTTTTTTATTTATTTAACAGTATATTATCAATACTTTAAAAAAAAGTTTACACGGATATTTTTAATAATTTTCTGTTAGAGAAGAGTGTTAAACAATAAGGATAAAATGATTATTTCAAGAAAAATGTTTACATAAGTTGTATTGGCAGTAACGTTTTGCTAACAGAAAACGTTTAAGTATAATTTCACAGAGTATTTAGCCAGTCTACGTCATGTAGAAAAAGCGTACGTCGAACATTCTTAAAATTTGAACTTTGTTTTTAAAGCAAATTTTACTACTTGCCCTCCTCTAGGGTGATAAGTTTTCATGTTGTTCGAATAATATAATAAATGATATAATTCAGTTTTCAATCAATTCGAAGTTCTGACATTTTTTTATTGATAGTAACATTATTTTTATTTTTGCAGTACCCGCACTTTTTAAAAAGAGATGTCAATAAGCTCCACGTTATGCTTCAACGGCGTAAAAAATATAAAAATCGTACGATACTAGGTTTTAAAACTCTAGCCGAAGGCGTTATAAATATGTCACTTGTAAGTTTGAAATGGTAAGTGTAAACGGTTCGTTACTTATTTTTTTATTAATTTTTCAGGTACTTCAAAGACCTCTTGATCTCGAACTCGAACTTCTGGGTGATCCCAAAGATCCTAAATCACTAGTCGGTCGCGTGTATATAGTATGTTTAAATAGTCAACCTGTAGACCACGAAGGCGTTACCAAAGCCGTCACTGGTAAGTATCATACTATTTACATAACTTAACATTGTTTGCTAACCAACTAGTGTTGTTGTTCTAGGGAGAGGCAATGAATATTCAGATGAAGACGAAGAGTTTAGTAGTGGCGAAGATGCTTCCGATTCTGATCCAACATTAGAAGAAAGACGAAGAAAAAAAACGATTAATACTGGAAATGCTAGAGTAATTAAATTTTTTTTAGTAATTTGTAGTGATAATATTACAAGATTTTTAAGTCGCGCAACTTTCCACTAACATTTCTTTTCAAATACATTTAATTGAATTATTTATACATTCTACCAACTTATTTTTAACAGCAAAGAAATCTAAAACAAAAATTCATCGCTCTTTTGAAGCGTTTTAGAGTAAATGAAGATTTGCATTCATTAGAAAACGACCGCGAAACTATTAGTCAAAAACTTTCAGGTAATAAACTCTTATATTATATTCATAGTTATTATATAGCATTTTTTAATTAAGTAATTTTATCCAAATTATGCTACAAGTTGTAGTCGAAATTCATTTTTTACTAATTAGTAATAACCCCAAAAATTAAATGTGATAGAAAAAATCTAAGTGCTGATTTGAAATGAGCACAAAAATTGGTTTAGAAAAATTATATTTTTGTCACTCATTAAATTTCTTGTTGATCAGTTTAGATCAAATTATTTTCTGAAAGTATTAAACACTTAACAACATTTTTTTGGAGACGTTTTCCATAGAAGTAACGAAATATACAACTACTTTATATTTTTTTATAATTTCTCAATGAAATTGACAATATTAAATTATTGAATATCAATTTCATACTAAGATTTATTACTATACTTAAAACTATAAATTACCAAGTATTTAATCATATATGAAACTTGTAAATCATAGAACTACTAATCAGGATATAATTAGGGAAATAGGAGTTGATGTTGCTTTTAGAATAATCCACCAATTTCTTAAAATCATACACTAAGTACAGATTTGCATCGAAAGGTTTTTTACGATAGTTATTTTAACCAGTGTCAGATATCATCTATACTTGTCTCAACTATATCACGACTCCACTGTGCTACCTTTTTTTTTTATATATTACTCATGCATGATATAGGTGGTGACATGGATCCAGCTGACATCGAAGATCTCTTGGAAGAGTTGGAAGACCAGAGTGATTCAGGGCCAGACCTAGACACGTTGTCAATATTGTCTACTCCTAAACCATCACTTCGCCCTTTCTTTTCTAGTTCTCGTACTAACATGATTCATGAAGGACTCTCAGGTTAGTGAATATAACACGTAGTATAATAAAAATTTGGTTAAAATTTTTTATGAAATATCCAAGTGTATATGTTGTTACATCAGTAATTATTTTTTTCGAGATTTTTATTTGCTCGCCAATTTTAGAACGTTTTTATGGCCATTTTTTTCATTGTAAACTTTATATTATTTAATATGGACGCCAATGTATTCTACATTCTCGCGTGGTTAAATTACTAGTTAGACTAATATGTGGCAAACGTCCAAAAAGTCGCCTTAGGTTAATCGCTTATAATATAGGCACGATATTAAAGAATTATTCAGCTTTTAGCATGATTGTAATTATCACACTTGAACTCACTGTGGTTATATTTAATGAAACGATATAATACATTTATGAATATATGTAATAAGTAAATCGAATCATTTTTATTTTATTCCTTTATAAACCTTTAATCAAAATTCACTTGTTTCTGTTTGCAGTTCTATAATTTACGCAATTTTATTTGCTATTGAAAAATCTATTTTTATTATTCAGTTTAAAAGTTCACATTAGAAAGCTTTTTAAATTATAAAAAAAGTTTCAATATAACTAGAAATTAATTAGTAATGGTAAAAATTTATTCTTATTAATGTATTTTTGTAAATTATTAATTAATTTTTTTAACCATGGTTCATTAATTATACTTAACTAAAATATTAAGTATTTTGTATAATATTTATAGTTATATTATACTACATAATTATCAATGGTACTTAATATAATTATATATTTTAATAAACACTATAATTTATTATTCACTAACAAAGACCCTCACTTTTTTATGAAATATCTGATTAAAGATCATTACAAATTTTTGTATTTCTGACTGCGTAGTAATAATATGTGAAAGCAACAATTTAAAGTTTTTAATACATTAATAATGTTTTTAAAAATTTGAAAATGCTTATATACTATAGAAATGATTTTTCCGTTACTTTACATTAGTTTAACTCACGTTTTTAACTTATATACAGGATGATTCATTTATCATTGGCCATCACTTAACTAATTGAAAAATAAATATAATAACGAGAGTATTTTTTATTTCTTTTAATAAGTTATTTTTCTTAATTTATCAGTCGTGTAATATTTTTTTTATTCATGCCTTATACATCATATGGGTGTCAAATTTAATTTTACAAATAGCAACATTCATAATTAACTAGCTAATTCATTAGATAATTAACTATAAAACTAATCTCATGCATATAATATAATTGTAAGTTATTATAGCAAAAATAAATATTGATTAATGTAATAATATAAATAAGTATAAACATTAAAAAGGTAATAAAACTTTAAAATTTAAGAACATCTACGATTTTTTATTTTATCGAAAACATCCAAAACTTTTGGTTTATTTATTGTGAAATTAGAAATTCCATTACACAATGAGCATCAGCAAACAATTTTTTATTTTTTTTCCTCCTTTTTGTTTTAGAATTATTTCATAGTTTTTTATTATAATAAAAGTAATTTATTACAATGGAATCTTTTTATTTAACAATTAAAATGTTATTTCATATCAATGATTAAATACTTTAATTAGTATAGATAAACATTAATGATAATAGCATGGAATAATAAACAATACTTGTTAATATGATATGGATAATACTGATACCAAGGTGCATAAATCCAAGGACTTGTTGTATGAGACTCAATAAATCCAGCTACTCTTTGTGGACACTTGTATATTTTCATTTGTGACTAGATATTTTTATAATAATTATAAAAAAAATTAGTGCGTATATATTTTATGTTATTATTTTAATTATTTATATTATAACATAAAATATATAAACGAACAACAAATAAGGCAGTAACTCAAACAATTCAATTTTGAGATGAGATATTTGAATTTAGATTTCACTTTTCTTATATAACTATTTAGAAAATTAATAAGCCTATAGGATATAATCCTATGCATTATTTTTGGTCTTTTAAAAAATGTTGTACTGACTTATTTATTGCGCATAGCGAATGATATGTATAGAATGACTATTTAATTAAAATGTGTCTATTTAAAAATCTTTTGCGCGTGTTATTATTGGTAATTTATAAAATATAAAAATATTATCAACAAAATAAAATACATTTATGACGAGACTACCGAGCACAGGCTAAATATTTTGGCGCTGTACTTTATTTTCGTGGGTACCCTGCCAACCCCCAAATGACGCTTCTGGTTAATAAAATTTAATACGTAGTCTAACTAGCTACATATTAATGTAGATTAATGATTGAATTTAAAAAATGACTGGCCAATAATCAATTTTGGACCATTATTTTAGAAGCTACTAACATTTTTATTTTAAAGATATAGAAAAACATTAAAACGAAAAGAAATTTTGTTTAGTTACGTGCTGTAGTTATATTATTTTTTAGTTATAATAATAATAAAATTCTCAATATTATATTTATTTTTTGACTAGTTAAATGGTAAAAGTGATAAAAGAATCACTTTGTATATATATATATTTGTAGTACAAATTTTGTATGTATATAAAGATTTTTTCTAATGTTTGAAGATAGTTTGATTATTGCTAAATAATTAGTTCACTTAATTTAATGTATTGTAATTAAATCACCAATTGATTGCTAAAAACTTATTATCCTGTTTGTAAACAAGTAACAAAAGAGATAGTTTACTCACAAAACAATAAATATTTTATCTAAATTATAGTTAGCTTTCTTTTGAGCTAGTCTTGTAATATTTCACAATGCTTTTGTACATTCAGTAAAAAAAAAATTGACTGATTTAATAAATAGCCAAAATGTTAACATTTACTCACGTATTTATTTTTTATATTTATATAATATAATAAATATATTTTTTTGTGTCATTATTATAAACATAATTTTTTTTTTTTAGACCAAATACAACTATATAAAAAATCTTTAGATAAAAAGATATCACTTATTAAAATATTATTATTAATTTTTATAATTCTTAAATTTTATTTTATTTTTGTTTTGCTATCTGTCACTAGGACGGCATTCCCATAAGAAAAGTCACACCACAAGTTTTCCGCCCTACAACAGAACCAAAGGTTAGCACACATTGAAAAAATCCCGAATCAAAAAAAAAAAAAAACATTTTAAGCACAAAGTATAATTTCTTATTTTATTTATATTCCATTTCTTTTCAATTGCACTATTCCATTTCTATTAAAGCACTAATATTTTGTTGCTTATATTTTTTATAATTACACCTAATTTTTACATTTTTGATTTAACCACAATTTAATATTTTCTCAATACTTTTAAGTTATTTCTTTACTTTATTATAAATATTCTAGCTATAAGTTAACTCTATTCAATCTTTGTTTTGTTCATGACTGAATTATAATAAGAAAAAATATTTGCATGTGCATGTGGTGGTTGTTTTTTTAGTGCTTCTATTTATTCGATATATTTATGTTTTAACTAGTAAGTAATATTAATATGCATTTGCCTAAAATTATTCAAAGAAAAAGCTTTTCCTTTTAAAAATGTAACATCTTAGTATTAACAACTAATGAATGATATTGTGGATATAATATTAACTAACATATATAATCTGTTTTATTTAAGTATTTTAAACTGTAACCAAAGCAAAAAATTCAATAAGAACTATTTAACGATCCTAATAGAGGTATATATTTCACAGTGACTTTATTTAAATTTTAGTGTATAAATACATATACAGGTAAACATAGTGGAATGGAGGAAACTGTTACACTCCTTAATATTTTCAAAGTACAATATGATTCCTAGTAAAATAAATATTTTTAGGTTTTGAAGCAGAAATTTCCAAAAAATAAAGTTAATTCATTTCTGCCAAACAAATAATTTTATCCTTACTTAAAAATTACTTTTGATGTATTTTAATTAATTATATTATTGTAAATTAAAGACAAACGTAATAATCAGATTTAAAATCAATATTTATTACTGACATTTATAATTATTTCAAACAAATAAATTGTAATGAATATACTAATTTTTGTAAATAACTATAAAATTAGGCTCGCCTCTTATGCGCGTTACTTTTGTAATACACTATTTCAATTAAAATTATTCTGACCATTAAACTACCAATAGAAGAGTATCCTTAATTCAAATAAATCTGAAATTTACAATATTTTTAATTTTAAATTAATAATGTTTTAATAATATAGTTTTAATTTTAAACTGAAATTCTCAACTATAAAAAATCTATCTTACTGTAGATTAATCATTTTAAATTATCATAAAAAAAGTTTTTGATTACCTCTAAGCCTTTTCAAACCGAATACTTTTTTTTTATATCATTTTAATTTTAATTATAATATCCATGCAATATTTAATAGTACATCAAATTTATGAAATTTTCTTGGTGTTCATTTTTAATTTTAGACGTATATATTTAATATATTATGACTGGGTATGCGGATTTAAAAATGCTGCAGCCCCCCAAGATCCTCGCTATTCGTACCAAAGCTGATATCTTACTTCTTTAAATTTATAATCTTTGAAATCTCATTTCAAACCAAAATACAATCACACAATGAACGCTATAAATTTGTCCATTATTTTTCTTTAACGGTGCCAATTATTATCTCATTATATTATTTCCGGTTTGTTTAAATTTAGCTTTTTTTATATGACTCATGTTATGATTGGTTATTTTTTGAACCTATTAAAATATATGGGGGGATGTCGTCTTAATATAGTTACTGTTTAACTATGATTTATTTACTCATATTACATAAAATGTTAAAAAACTAATTAAATATTTTATACTACTCATTTAACATCAAAACTGATGTTCATTAAACTCAAAATATTTTTTTAAATTAGTACTATTAATATATAAATTAAATTAATGTATAAAATAGTCTTGATTTTTTTCTGGATTAAATATTCGTCTTAACTATTATGATAATAAAGTGATCTAAATAACTACGTAGATCATGTTTATAAAAAAAAAATCATTCTTATAAAATTAATAATTTTTTGATTAACCTTTAAACAAACGTGATGGTAAACATTATAGTTGAGAAATCAATTTTATTAAAAATATCTTTAATAATTTATTGTTTAAAATATTTCACATTATTACAGTTGTCACTTGAAAGAATAATTACATAATTGGAAAAACAATTACTAATACAAGGCGTCATTTCAGATTTTCTTTAAGTGAATGAGTATAGTGACTTTTAAATATAGCCATTTTTAAATTTAATTTATTGACAACTGACGGTTTTACATAGTTTTTGAGGTACTATATATGATATATTATCAAATTTTTTTAAAACATATTTAAATAAATAAAACAATTTGATATTTAGGTTGCGTGTTTACTATTTGTCAAGACAATTATAATATATTTTATATTATTTAGCCACCTTTCCATCTTTCAAATATCCTGTCCTTAGCAATAACAATAAGTGGTTGTCCGTACCCACTTACTATTATTTCGTCATTTTAGTCAGCATTGTTGAAATACATACAAATTATGAAAAATGAACTGTATTACTTGTTAATACTTCTCTTGTTTTTTTAAATAAAATCATAAAATACAAATGGACTATTACCATTTTCCCCTGTACTATTCAATTATTAAAATATTTTTTATTCAATAGGCATACATAATAGGTAAAATATAAATTTTCATGTTTAATATTCTTAACTCAAGTATATTTTTTTAAATACGTATCTAGTTATAATATTTCAATATTTTCATGTACCTAAAATATAATCTATTTCATGTTTTTTCAATTTGCTTAGACTAAGCATGTTAAGATTATTAAGCATGTTTTTGATTAATTAATTTTATATTATTTCTCTTAATACAATATTTATGTTATTATTTTTACTTAAACTTTTCATCATAAACCTTGCTGTGGTATTGGTTTTGGTTAAATTTTTGTTGTAGTTGTTTTATTTATTAATTAATTTTAATGGGTGTTTCTTTATTAATAATTTTATTCATTAAGTTGAAAATAATGAATACATATAAGACTTTATAACTTTCAGTCATAGTAGTTATAACCTCTCTTAGGTTTACCATCTATGGAACGTAATATTGAAAGATTCAGTGATGAAAGTTCAAAAAAAGCTGACTCAGATTCTTATTTGGATACATGGACAGATAGTGATCCTACACCAATGAACTCTTCTCCTCCTAAAACTATGAATATTGGTGATGAAAAAAAAGTAATTAAATTATTTATTTAAATGGTAAAAATAAAAATATATATTAAATTATTTATTAATCATAAAGGATGTTACACCAAATACTGTGGAAAAAGAAAAAAAATCAAGAATTTTTACTCGAGACCGCACTTCTTCATCAAATAAATTCAAAAGATCACCCATGCCTAAGCCTACTGTTAGTGATAATGATCATAATCGTTCCGTTAATACTAGTGGTTCTGGTAGTTCTTCTGGATCAGCTGTACCAGATAACATAGGATCAATGGTTGAAGTAATAATTGTTCTTATTTTAGGTATATATGAGTTCATTCTTATATGTAGCATTTGAACCCTTTTTTACAGCCAAGAAAAGTTCTTATGGAACAACTATCTAAAGTATTACCTCCTGAAGACAAAATGCCAGAAGTTTTATGCTTAATACATTATTCTGATCCTCTTGGTGGTCAATTAGCTTCTAAATTGCAAAATTACAATTTTAAAGTAATAACTCCAGCAGGATTGGCTGATGTAAGAGCAGCTTTTATGTGTATTATCAATAAAATACAAAAATAGTAAGACACTTATTTTTACTTTTAATTAATAGTTAGTACAATAAATTATACTTTCTAGCTGTAATTCAAATCCAAAACCTCCAAGTCAGATGAAAATATTGTTAGCTGGCTCTGATAGTTTTGTTAACTATGTACTACGACAATATGTTGAACAATTATCTTTTAAGCCTCCTGATTGGATTAATTTTATTAAATTTTATATCATACCCTTAGGTGAGTTTTTTTTTTTTTTTGTCAAAATCTATTAAATTTAAATATTTTACAGACATTTATTAGTATTAAACATAAATAAATTTTTGTTTATAAAATTTTATTTAAAAAATTAATTTAAAGTACTTTTCAATACTATTTTTTTTTTTAATTTTTAAAACTACAAAAAAACAAGTGCAAATTTTGATAACTTTGTTTTGTGCATTATTAATATACATGATATAATTTTTACTAAGTGTATTCTTTTGGCCATTAGAAATAAATATATTGAATATTTTTAGTTTTAACTAATATTTTTGATGAATTTTAATTATATTCGATAAACCACAAATGATAAATAATTTATATTATGTAAAATATAAATATTTATGTATAATAAATGTATGCTTAGGAATAAATACTCTATCAAGATATTTAGGTACAGTTGATAGCTACTATGGTTCTACATTTCTTTTCAAAGAAGATTATTGGAAAGAACAACTTGAATGTGGTGATGGATTGGATATCATAAGTAAAATAAAAAATTATTTAATGGAAGCTTCAAACACTATTCAATTTCAAATCGCTGAAGCTATGCTTTCTTATAAAGAAAAAAGGTAATTATGAAAATTCTTAGCACTCCTAAGATTTTTAGACCTTCAACATCTCTCCATTTTATATTTTTGAAACACTTTTAAAACATTCATATTACAAGTTGCAAGAGGAGGAAATTCTAAAACTAATTAGATGACTAAGGTTATTGACCACTAGTTTTTCAAGTGGACAATTGTAATACACCATTACTTAGATGACATTTTGAAATTTTCAAAATCTCATAATAACTAATCTTAAATAAAATGATTATTTCAAATTATTTAGATATAATTAGATTAATAATTTATTTTTCATTAGAAAAAATTTAACTAAAATTAGATAAAATTAATTTTTTGATATACAAGTTCTAGTTAGTAAAATCATGGTAGCTTTGCATTTTGGTTAAAATTATTAGATGTACAGAGTGCTTCGGACCTAACTGACAACATTTATAACTTTTGATACAATTATCATTTTGTTGAAATTTTTTTAATAGTGCAGTATACTTAGACTATGTTTAAATAATGTTCTTTACTACTTATCACTAATAAAAAAAAAATTTATCAGGATCAAAAATTATTAGCATTTAGTCAGTTTAGTTTGTGCCACTTGTATTGAATATTATCCACAATTAGAAGCATTGTTTCAGTTTTGGAAAAAGGCATTTCTATGAAATGTCAAACAAATATTTGTATGTTAATTACATTCACTACTGTATCACCATGCATTACAATATATCAACTTAAAGATAATTGATATAAAATTTTTACTTGTATCTTATTCACAACATCAATATATTAGATAAAAATGAACATTCATTCTTCAAAATATAAAAATAACTACAAACTAATATTAATGTTGTTAAAAGTTGATAAAGTATGACTTTATGTATTATTAGATGATCTGTAGTATTTTACAATAAATATTTTTTACAAAAAGCTAATTAATTCAGCACACATTTTTCGACTGTGTGTAAATGACACCCTGCTCCCACAAATGATGTCGTTATTCAAAATTATCATTGTACTCATAAGGATCAATAATTTAATTTTAATATCCATTTTAGATTTAAAATTACAGTTTTAGCTTTGAAGAAAATTATCACCTTTTAAATTTATTTATAAATTTTAATTTTTCTAGTTCCGATGATGAAGCTTCACAAATATTTATACCATTTGTTAATGTAAGTATTTTATGATTTAAAAAATTTCTCTATTATTTTATTTCTATAAATTGTTTTATATATATATATAACAATTAATTATAGTTTTGATAATAAAGTTATATTTTTGTACATACTTTTTCAAAACCCATTATTTAAAATTCTTTGTATGTAATTTATCAATTTATTTTGACAGGATGTAAGGATTTGTATGGGTGAAATGTTATTATGCTCAAATGATGATGAACAACCTCCTAGTATCCTAGACCGTAAATCTATAATTGATAAAACTACACCACCCAACTCTCCAAATATTGGAATGCAATTCATACCACCTCATACTAAACAAGTCAATTGGTAATTATATTATATTAATAATTTTTTACTACATATTTTGTAAGAATATTTATATTATGCCCATTTATGAATAAATTTGTTTAATAACTTAAAAATATAATAAGAAATTGCATGAAAAATAAGAAAGGAAATAACATGCAACATTATTGAAGGGTAATTTTTGTGTAGTAAGAAATAAAATTTTATTATTGTATTAATAATAGATTTAAGTAAAAGTTGATTTTATTTTTAGGGAAACTTGTGAATCTTTAGAATTACAAGTTGATTATTGGTTGGTACCTAATAGCAATAAAGAAGTTCCAGCTCGAAATAATGAACCAACTAATAAAAGAATGGATACAAAATTTACACTCAAGAATGGTTTTAAGAGTTTACATATTTCTAGATTATTTTTAAACAATGATGAATCATTAGCCTTTTTGACTGTGAGCTACATAAAAGAAAAGAAACAAAAAAGTGAGTCTTTTTTTTTTCATATTTATTATTTAAATAATTTGTGAAACAATTTTTTTTTGTCTTTTTTAATTAATAATTTATGAAGTATTTATTATGTTCATCTATTTCTTATAATTGTATCAACTTTTTTTTTTTTTTTAATAGAATTTTTCAAAATTAAATAGTTTATTTATTAAAGAATAATTTAATTAAGATAATTACTGGTTAATAATATATTTTTGACCAGTGTTTAAAAATTTAAAGTAATGGCTGGAAGTGAAGAGCATATAGATAGCACCAAAAATAGTTAATTTCTTAAGATTTTTTGATTAGTTATGTAAGTAACTGGATTACATGCTATAAACTAAATTTGTGTGCAATAATGCACATTAAAAAAGTAATAGACCGTAGAAAAAAATATATTTTAATTAGTTAAAATTTCCTATAGTGCTATTGTTGAGTTGTGTAAATAAATTTTTTGACTGTAGGTAATCGACATTTTTCTCATTTATTAAAAGTTAGATGTTTGTAAATTATAGAAAATAAGCTTGCAGCTTTTAATATTTATACATATTTTCTGTTCACTTTTTTTTGGAATAATTAGATACTATAAAATGGAATGTATCTGGTGAATCTAGTTGGTTTTTGGGATATTTTTGTTAATCAGCTATAAGTTCCAAATATATTAGAATTAGACTCAATGTTAACTAATATTTCGAAGTACTTCCAGTCCTATGATTGTTATAAATAATTGACAAGAATATTTTGAACATCCATCCAGTATACCCTATGACTCATTACACCCTATTTTATGGTATTTTTAGGGTAGTACTTGAATTTAATTATGTAGGTTAGAAGAAAATAACATTGATTATAGTTTTAAAAATGTTTTGTTACATAAGGCTTAGTTAAAAAGAGATTTTTAATCTAATGATATCATAGAATCCCTAAGATAAATAAAATAAAAATATCCTTACTTTAATATATTTCTTGTGTAGTTTTTAAATCTATCTAATTTTTATAAATTATTGTTTACACTTAGTATCTATTGTCTTTAAAATGAAAATTGATTATTGAATTTATTTAATTTTTCTTTTTTAGTTATGCGATTAGGAAAGAAAAAAGAAAAAGAAAAAGATTTAGAACCAAAAAATCAAGTGATTGATAGTGTATTACGACTAATTTGCTCACCAAAAACACAAAACTATCCACTTACTAGTAAGTTATAACTTTTATTACGATATATTTATTTTACGATTTTTTAAAATAAATTTGTATAGTATCGATTGATGGTTATGAATGGAGTGGAGTAAAATTTTTCCAATTATCATCTCAGTGGCAAACTCATATCAAGTATTTTCCTGTTGCGGTTTACTCATTAGACTACCAACCAAGAAGTTTACCTCATTTAAATCACCCTATTTAATAATTTTTAATATATAGTAAAATATATATCTAAACATTATAATGATTATGTTAATATCAATACTATTTCAATATTTTTTCCTACTAGTATTGAAACAGAAATTTATGGACATAATGGATCATGTATTTCTTTTTGATTATCATTGTACCTATATAACACTGTCAATAAATTTATTTTGGTTGTGTGTTTGAATGATTACCACATGGTTATATGTAATTTTATTCTAACTTAAGTATTGATTATTGTTGTAACTTAAACCACAATTTTATATTAGTTTTATGCATATATATATATATATATATATATATATATGTGTGTATATTCATAAATTTATGTAAACATAAATTATATTATATTACATACATTTTTATGTAATATATGACATGTTTGTATAAATAGAAAATTACTTTATCTTATATAAAGTATTAAGTATTATTAGTGAGACTTTATACATTCAACATTTTTATCATAACCAAAGACTTCACATTTTAACGTACCTTATTAATAGTATAAATTTATTTGTGATTTTGTAGTTTTAATTACAAAGAATTTTTTTATGAATATAATTTTTATAATTAATAATATATATATATATATATATCAAAATGGTTTTCCAATCTTTTTACTTATACTTAAGTTCTTTTATAAAACACAATTTAATTGGTTTTGAAAGTAGTAGTATATTATTTATATTATGATCTATGTAAGTAAACTAATAAATAAAATAAAAATTTACGATGAAGATTTCAAATATTTAGAAATAATATCTCTTCTGGCAATTTGAAAATGATTTTCATATACTTTAATTGTAGATTCATCATAGTATGTATTATATTTTTTCCAATCTTTTCTTTTAGATGGATCCTTTACCTTATCATTTAAAGTAATATTGCACATTAAACCTGAAAATATAACATTATTTTAAAATAATTACAAAGGTGATGAAATTAAAGACGCCAGGTAAAATAATAATATTGCCTTTACAGCAAATACATACTGAATTTTAATTAAACTATCTCGTTTAGAATATTAATAAGTACAAAGATGATGCACTGATGTGAATTTTTACTTTTACAAAAACTATTAATTACAAATTTAATAAAAAATACTATAAATTATTTAATATGGAAGTGTTTTTTTTTTTTGTAAAATCTTAGGTTTTATAGGTCAATACTAAAAAAGCACTATATGAAATATGTAGGAATAAATACTATAGAATAACTTTATATACAAAATAGTTTTTACTTGAACATCCTATAAATCAAATAAACATTTTTTTTTCAGGAACTCCATTTAAAATTGTATTGCCATAATAGTAAATGTAAATTATAAAATGTTGGAATTTAAAAATTAAATATTTATTGTTGATTTATTAGAAAGTAATCATATGTATATATAATAGGTTCAACAAATAAAAAATTATAAGACCAAATTGTTAATTTTCCTTTTTTTCTATCAAATTATCAAGTTAAAAATAGGGGTTCCCTTTTAAGAAAATTTTAATTAAGAATTCTTATCCTTGAAGGGATTAAAAAAAAATATTTAACTTTATATTATTATAGTTTTTTGAAGTCAATTTTTACTTAATAAAAATTTTTAATTCTCAATAATTTTTAAAAATTTAGCGTCTTACTAAATTTAAACACCTATACATAGAATAAATTAAAAAAAAAAATTCTTCCACCTCTCTTCAACATATATCCATTTATGTTTTTTAAATGTTAACTCGTATATTTAATCTAAATATTATAGAAAATCATCTAGATAAGAAGAAGCCTAGTCAATAAAACTTTTGAACCAGAATTTAGGGATATTAATATTTCAAAATAAAGACTAAAGGTGAGACCTAATTTTATTTAATAATAAACATTCTGCATCAGTTAATCCTTCCACTTAGTTATAAAAATAGTAATATTGACTGTTTTCAGACTATAATTGGTATGAGTACTATATTTATCAACAATTTTTTTTTCCCTGAAAGTAACTTATAGGTACTTAAAATCAATCAATATATGGTTAAGAAACCAAGTCAATTGAAAAGGCTGCTATGGCTTTAAAAAACCGTTTAAAGAATTAAATAAAAATTTTAAATTAGGTATGCATTTTATACGTGACATGTCTCAGACTTTTTAAACAATTTGTAAGTAAATAATATTTTAAATATACATTACCTGCTTTATGTGCCATGGAAACCATTTTACTAATTCTTTTTTGTTGAGTTCGACATAGACCAGTTATTCGTTGTGGCATCATACAACCATCAGGTCTAACAAACTGACTTAAGATTAATACATCCTTTAAAAAAAATAATTAATAGGTTAAATTAACCTATACACAATTATAATAATATTAAATAATAAAAATACTACATACAGTATGTTTAACATCAAGATTAAGACGACATAATGGACAGCATTCACTAGGTATTTTAATTAAATATTTAGTTCTAGGTGATTGGACTTGAACTCCTTCAATAGTCAATGTATTATTGCTTCTGGTCGCTTTAACTAGTATAAAAACTTTAAATTATAGTAATATTTTAAATAATCAAAAAATTCAAAATAAAGACATACTTTCTTTCAATTGATTAGCCACAGTAGTATGTATACTATTGCAGGAATTCTTTAGATTAAAAACTGTCATACGTTGTAGTGTCGATAAAGCACTAAGTATCGATACTTTTAACATAATTAAAAAATATTAATTATACTATACGCTTATTACACATGAAAATATTTTCAAATAAACCTGGTTTTGTAAGGTTTAATGTAATTTCCTATGCGTGTTAATCATAGAACAACAATCTTTGTGTTAATAGTATCACAGAATACTTTTAGATAGTACTATCTTAGTTTTGTTGTTAACATAACTTAAAATATTTAACTATAACCAAATAAAGGTAATGTTAGTTTGGAAGTAATTATTGATGACATATATAAGTTATGTAAAAACAAAATTATCAAATATTATTTACTCATTGCAATCGTTTTAAGTAATAAGTATAACTTAACCAGAAAATACAAAATTTAATATATTATTATATAATATTTATACATTACAAAATAAATATTCTAGAATTATAAAATTAAATTTCTTTAAATCTTATTTAGTAATAACTTCATAGGGTAACGGCTCTAGTTATTAGGACAATAACCATTTTTGGCAATTTAGTTGCATCAAATGATATATTAATATTTTCAATTATTATTATATCTTCTATTTGGAACCTTGAAAATGACTAAAAAATATTTGCAAAATAATGGTATCATTACCCCAGTATAAAATAAACAGTTTTTTTAGCAGTAAAACTAAAATTATTGTATAACAAGTTATTTTTTTACTTTTGTTAAGTTCAATAAATTGATTGCGCTTAGTTTTTAGAGCTTACGTTCAAAAAACCTAGACTTAATTAACATTTCAATTTTTATTTCATGCCCATTTTAATAAAAATAGTGTAATTAATAGCCCACTTAATAATGTTACCTATTTTTATTTCATGACCATTTTAATAAAAACAGTATAATTAATAGCCCACTTAATAATGTTACCTTTTTGTAATTTATGAAATTTGATTTTTTTGCTATAATAAAATAAATTGAAATATAGTGATTTAAGTTGTAATCTATCAATTACAAAATTATGTTTTCTTAATAAAATTAAGTAAAACAATAAATTAATTATTGTATGCACTATTTGTAACACTCTTTGTGAACATTATTAAATAAATAAAACAAAAAGATTTTTTTATTATGATTGAAATTAAAGAAAATAGTCATGCTTGTATAACATGCTAAACAAAATAAGTAAATTCATATTAATATAAAATAATTTTAAAAAAAGAGCTATAGTTAAAACAGATAAAGTAACATAGACTTTTGGTTATATAACACAAGGTGAATACACTAATTATCATTTTTAAAAACAACAATATATAAATATAAATACATTTTTTAAATTGAAAATTATAACAATCATAACAAAATATTAAACATAAAATTTATGTTTATTTTGTATTTAATACGCTACCATTAACATGAAGGAATTAACAGATAATTTTCAATATTAATAATTTTTATATAATCTATATTTTATGTCTTTGATTTCAATTTAAAATTATTGATAAGTTAATTTTAAAACTTAAAAAACAAAATTACAGGTCTCTTAAAATGTTTAGAAAAAATTAGCCATATTCACAAAGAATAATTAAGTACACTTAATTTTAATCGTAGAATTTAAATTTATTGTAAGTTTGCACTTGTTAATAATATATAATAAGTACTTTATTATAATTACACATCAGATTGGTCTAATAGTGAAATTTGAATCTATTTAATTTTTAATTAATTGAGAATATACCACAATTATTAAAAAAATTAATATATATTATAAAAATTTCAAATAAAAAATAAAATAATGTATTTAAACAAAATTTACTTTTATATTATTTTATTATTAGAATTGATAATTTATCTATTCTAAGTTTTAGTATCATTAAGTAGTAAATATTTTTGTTACCATAAAAGATTCCTCTCTACTATCAAATCTCTCATTAAAAATTCAATAATTGTACATCTATTTAAATTTTATTAATTCCAATTTAATAAATAGAAACTACAGCTTATTTAGTCAGTAATTTTAATCAGTCTTTACCAAATTGAGCATATTATAAACAATTGTTTCAAAAAAAAAAAAACAATGAGGATTATAATAATAAAATTTCCAATAATATCCTCATACATTTTACATGTATTAAACAGACTATTTAAATATTCATTAGATAGATAAATATTTATCAGTCGCTGCTTTAAAACTTATCAGTTGTATATATATTTCATATTAAATAAAGCTCAATGAATTTGAAACAAAACATTTAACAATAATCCATAAAATTTTTGTTTACGAGTTATTAATAAAAGAAATACAATAAAAATATAAATCCTCAGTAAAAACTACTTTGATTTTGCAATTATTAATTACAGGTCTTCAAATATACAGAGCAACTAAATTGTTGGTAATATATCAACAAGCATATAATGTGTATGGTTCTCAAATTAATTTAAAGTAATTAATTAAATAAAACATATTTACATTTTGTATATGGAATACTGAGTACATTTAAATGTGAGGTAGATTTGAATTCATTAATTAAAAATAGTTGAAGGGATAAATTAAGTCACATAAAATTAATATATAAAATGTTGGGTACAATATCTTCTGTATTACATATAAACATATTTATCACTACAAATAGTATTGTTTAATCAATTAAAACCACACATTCAAATGTTCCCCAATTTTTTTACATATAGAATTAAAATATAAAAGAAAAACAAGTGAATTACCTATGATGAAATAATTTTATAAATATTACTGCTATACAGAGGATAGATAAAGAATTGATAAAAGTTCTACCAGTTACACTAATTTGTTGGTAACATATTTTTGAGAAATAAAATTTAATTAATAAAAGACTGAAAAAAATAAATTATACATTTTAACAATAATTTTACAACAGGATAAAATGTCAATAATTAATTTAAATAAAAGAATATATTTAAAGAATATAAAGCTAAATTTATACAAAATTTAATTGACTTTTAAGATTAAATTTATAAAAATTCAACATGATTGATAAAAACTGATCAACACTCATTATAATATAATAAATTTTAAACCAGAATTTTCAATATTTCTGTGATAAGTAAAAATTTCACTTTAATTTTTTATAAGAGCATAAAAAAGTTAATTAATTCAAGTGATTTTAACTATTACTTTCACATTTAGGTTAATTGAAATTATCACACAATAAATATACTATTTTAATAGTTGAACATATACTACAGATAATAATAAGTAAAACAAAAATAATTATAATTAGAAGTTATAATATAAATAATAAAAATAGGTTAAATATTATTTAAACATTTTTTTCTGCACAATGGTAATTAAATTTTATAATATTAATTTTAACTATAACAAAAAAAAATTACATGTAAAACTAAAAACTTAAATTTGGTTATTGCATGTTTAAATGAGTTTAAAAATAAATAAAATGAAATATTGAAGTAATACGGTAAAAAAAAAATACAAAGAAATTATTAAGAGTTCTAAATTAGTAGTAAAATATAATTAGAGATCTAGAAATAGGATACAAAAACCATGTAAATTATAAAATCAATAATCCATACATTTGTCAATGGGTTTAAAAAAATATATGATTTATTCTTTTTTTTTTCCATTAACTAATGAACTACAATAGGAGGCATTTGTTAATGGAACTAATGAAGATGAATCAAATGATAAATCATCTTGAATTTTTCGGGGAATTTTGTAAAACCACTCTCCAAAACGTTGAGGATCCATATTGGACAAGACTTCTAAAGATTTATTAAAGGGTAAAGTCTTGAATTTAATAATATGATCATTTAATTTAGATAAACTTTCTTGAACATACTGCGTACTTGGACTAATATTTGGAATACATGTAAAAGTTGGATGATAATTGATATCACAACTGCGTTTTTGATGTAAATTAGGTTGTTCAAATGAAAACATTAAATTTTTTAACTTTAATTTAGTATCTCCTTCACTATTACTAAAACTTTCTTTTCTAACAACTCGTATATACCTACGTACTATTGGACTAGCATTTATTGGTGTAGTTTTAGTACTACAATTATCAGAAGAATAACTTCTTCCATCATTTACTGTATCATTATCTATAGCGTTATAAACACGTTTAAGCCGAATTATCACAGGAGGCTTGTTCATTTTATTTTGGTCATCATATAATATATCACTACTTTTATTTGGATAAATATGACTATTAATAACTTCGACCTTATATATATCTTTAGATGAATTTTTTTGGCGTACTTTTCTTTTTCTTTTGATTTTTTTATAATTTATTTCCTCTTTTTCTTCTAAGCATGATGATAAAAATTCAGTTTTTCGTTTTTTTTCTGGGGTATAAGAAATATTAGTGTCTGAACAGCATTTTCGTTTAAGCTTTGATAGAGGTTTCTCCTCGACAGTACTGCTTTCATACAAAGATAGCTGAAATAAATAATTAAGTTATAATTATTAACAAAAATGCTTTTTACTCCTGATCTTACAAAAGATCCTATGAAATTCTATAAGAAATAGAAATAGAATTATTAACATTTTTTACAATTAACTTTTTTTCATCAAACATTTTAATTTCATTACTAAAAACAGCACTATTAGACTAAAATACTGATTATAATTATAATTACCATATTCTTTTCATTATCATTTGAATCTGTATCCACAATTGTGTTAGCAGAATCATCTAATTCACTTTTCACAATAGATGTTTCTAGTTGCATTTGAACATTTGTCTCTGAATAACTAGGCAAACTGTTTAAAAATAGTACAAAATCCTTTATAAATAACTATTTGATATTACAAAGATAATATTTTTTATCTATTTTATTTACTTTTCAGGAGAAATTTGGTTAAAAATCATGCTGAGAGGCCGTTCATTAATTAACTCATCGAGTTCTTGAAATTTATTTTCATCTTGACTTTCTCTTAAATGTTTTTTTGTATTGATATGCTCCTTATAATTCATAAAAGGGACATCACATAATTCACACATTCCACCAATTTCTGAAGTACTAGAATTATTAAAAATATGCATAAATTTCAATACTTAAACTATACAGATACTATTTTTACCTATATTGGTCAGAGGAATACTCTTCTCCACTTTTATCAATTTCAAAACTTTGTTCAGGTGGAACTTTTAATTTTTTTTTACATAATGTATCACCAAGATCTGGCCACTTGGGAATAAATTCAAATACAGGACATTGACCTTGATCCATTGATTCTATTTTTAAGCTTATTTTTCCTCTAAGAACACTAGCTACTTTATCAACAGGACTTTTGCTAACTCTATGTTTTTTCAATAATGATTTGAGCCATTGTTGAAACTAATTGAAGAATATTTTTAATAGGTAATAAGATTTCAACCACATAATTTAGGCAAAACTTACTTGTTTGGGAGAAAATATTCGTACATTTAAAAGTGTTGCTTTGCTAATAAGATCAAAAGATTTATTTTGTTTTGAAGATGGCGTATTTGGTATATTTTCAATAGTATTTCCATGCTGAAATAGTATTTTAAATTTTATAAAAATTATTATTAAACATTTAAAACAACCCAAAAGAAGATATTTAACATTAATCACCTCAGAGTCGTTATTTTCTAAAGATTTTTCATTGTTTCTTAGATCTGATATTAAATAACTAGTATTTTTCTCTAAAGATTGAAGAATTTTCTATCAAAAAATGCATTTGTTAATTAAAATTAAAAAAATAATTTATTACATTTTAAACTTACACCTCCATAAGCATTTATGAGTTTTTCGACTTTTGAACTAATTATATTATTTACTATGTCAATTAAAAATGTTTTATCATTAAGGATTGACCGTTTATTTTTATTTGCAGCATCTAAACATAAACATTTGAATGCAATTTAATAAAATTATTCTTTTTAAACTAAAACTATTTCTAAAATATTTATTTCAAAGGAAAATTATCTAGTTTTAAAAATGTTTGTACTCTATTCATATATTTATTATTATGGTTTAGTTTAATGATAAAATAAATAGAGGTTATAACACAAAAAATGTTAGATCCCATATTTGCCTACGAGTTTATATTTTAGCATTTTTTTTTTTTTGGCAGCTGAAGCTGCATTTCAATAGAAAAACAATTACATAATTTTTATAAATATCTAAATAATTTTTTTGATTTTAAAGAAGTCTCTTAAATGCAATAAAACAAATATTGTATTTTTTTATATATTCATCAGTAATCATCTATCAGTAATCAGACTATTTTACAAACCTTAAATTATTAATTATCCAAAAAATTATTATACCTATTAAGAGTAATTTAAATATAATAATACATACTTCCACAAGTTCATAAAATAAGACTACTTAAGCACTAAAGATAAATATGAAAAGTAAAATAAAAAGATGTTTGACTAATATAGACTTAGAAATTAAAGAAAATATTTTTAATATTTTTAACTGTAGAGATTTTGTAACTTATTAAAATATATAATAATAAGTAAATATTTCATATATATATATATAACATTAAATTTGATTAAAAATTTACCTTTTTGCTCAAGTGATGGTTGCTGCTGCTGATTATCAATACTCATCTTTTTAATTTTTCAAGGATAAGTTATATCAAATAACATATACTTATTGTATGTAAGTTTGCAATAGGCAAACAATATATAGAGAATGAATTTGGTTTAAATGTATTAGTTATTTAAAGAGATAACAAAATAGTTTTACAAAAGTAAAATAAGTTAATTGTAATTAAAAAATATCGGACTGTTTGTCTTGACTAATACTTATGATAAACATGCAACCTAAATTAACGCGCAATGTCCTATAAGGACTTGATTAAAATATAATATGGATACAAAAGTAATGGAGCCAAAAAATAACTTAAAAATTATTTTATTTGGACTAGATTAAAATTTTAAAAATTTCATACAAAAATTTCAAATTTTACACTAAAATCGTTTGAATTATTGTTTATCTCACAAAAATTTAACGCGTTACGGACACTGCTGTGTTATACCTTCATCGTTATTTGTTATCCTAACGCGATACGATTGATTACGCGACTTTGATTTCATTGGCTTACAAATTGTACCTAGTAATGTGGTCCATTTTCATTTGGTCAAAATCAAAGTGTACGAAAAATGATAGAAGTCCTAAGAAAAAAATAAACCATAACGAACTGAAAGATTTAAATGAATAAAATGTTATGAAATTATTTCCTTTCATTATGATCAATAATTGCCTAAATAAAGTGCGGCTAAAAATGTTTAACCTATTTTTAAATTCATAAAAATATTGCTTTAACTACAGACTAGGACAGTGAAACGGGTGATTTTAAAATAAATAAAAAAATAATAATTATATTTTAACTAATTTTTTCATATCACCTGAATGTATATTTAAAAGTATTTTAAATTCTTAATTTTTTATTAAATAAGATAAAATAACACTTATTGGCGTGCCCTTGAAACACGATAATGATATAGCCAAAAAATAATTATTGGTATATTTATGCATTTTCCAGGACATTTGTATCACTTTTTCTCATATTCTTATTTAGAAATTATTAGGCGTCTACAATATGGTTTCTCATACTCATTTTCTTAATATAACCCACCCCTATTTCTTCCATAAAAAAAATACTTTTCATTAAATCAAATAAACAGATGGTATAGATTTTTGTTGGAGGTTGACAAAAAAACCCACTTACAATGTACTGGCTTTATGACATCACAGTAAAGTTCCGATGAACTTTTCTTGATTGAGCTCCTATTTTTATAAAAAGTTTATTAAATTATAATAACTTAATTTTATAAATTCCCGAGTAATAAAAAGGTAATTAATCCTCTTTTCGAAAAAATATTTGTGGCTATGCCATTGTTATTAAGTATGCCCTTGAATACGTTAATTTTTATAATAACTAAATAATAGTTCTTAAAATTCTATGTAAATTGTCGTTTTCTCTATTTAGTGAAAATTTTAACCAAGCCAATTCAATAAATAATAAGACTATAATTAGACTAGTCAAAAGCATCAAAATTATACGGACGCCTATGGATGATTAAGCACACTTATAAACTACCCAGTGTGCAATATCAAGTTTATTATGCGTTTAATAAACATCAACAATTCCACCATAGACGGTCTATTTAAGAGCTGCCAATGGTTTACTATGGAGCATTATAACCGTTTATTAACCATTGATGCACCTACCATATTTATTTACAGAAATAACGCTTATTTTACTAATATAAGTATCTTAAAACTTATACGTATTTTAAACGTTGAATATAGTTAACTTATCAACACATAATATTCATTTAATTTACTCATATATAAGTAGATTAAATGAATATTAAATATATTTTGTACTTTCTTTCTACTTCAATTATATATATTTTTATCACTACATTATCTGAATAAAACAGTATGTAATGTACTTAAAATAAACATAAATTAGTCAATCAAAATAAAACCATATAAATTACACTCGAAAATAATGTTCTTGAATTTTTTTTATTAAAAAATGATATTAACAAATTAATGATATATAAATATTCCCTAATAATAATAATAATTTATATATATCAAACTATAAGGTTTTTTTTTTCATTTTTTCTGTTGCTGGCTTGTCTGAGCCACTGACCTAAGTAAGTCTTATATTCTGTTTCTGTAATATTTTGTAAAACATAAACAACATCTGAAAAATTAATTAATTAAATTATAGTTATTATTATTAGTAGTAAGAATATAACACAGGTAGATGATAAGGCTATAACCCTCCCCACCATTGACCATAGTACACATAATATTTATAATAAACAGAGTAACACTAAGGATTTAGGTGATGAAAAAAAAAATGTGAGGTCCTAGAAATTTAGCTTCCGATTAAATAAAACTGTGTAAACTACCGAAAACTAAAAAAAATTTATACTTGATTACATTGATAAAAGCATACATTATTTATGTGGGGAGGTGATTTCATCAATCTCTTTCATTGTTTTTTATTATTTGTTTAACAAATGGAATTTTGAAACTAATAGAAATAGAAAGTTAATTTTTACCGTAAAATAAAAGTTTTTAATTTCAAAATTTGATAGCGTGGATAACATAATTAGTGTGATTATATAGTGTATTACAGTAGGGCTCAATATACTTAAAACATGTTGAGCAGTAGACATTTTTTAGTGGGTTTAGTTTGTACTAGTGTATGTGTAGTCCCTTGTGCTAAATACCTACTTTATGTATTGTAATGTTGGTTACATTTGCTGAACTAAAAATTATTAAGGATATTGTCTTTAATTGGATATAATAGCACAATATAAATATAAAACACAGGTTTTTCAAATCTAAGAAATAAGTGTTTTAGGATTAATTAGGAAGTTTTTAAAAGTTTTCATAATTTAATTTAAAAATAAAATGTTGGTTACCTTGAATTAATTTTGACATTTTGTAATTATTAAAAGATAGTTTTAGTCCTTTTCCAGTTACATTGAATGTTTCAGCTATTTCATTTGTCATTACCTTTCGCAACACATTGTAGGTAGTTTTTGAATTTAACTTGCTAGAACCGACTTTAAGTAAAGTTCTTTTCTGAAATTAAAAAATTATATCTTATAGAATATTATATTGAAAAATAAATGTACAATCAATAAAAAAAATACCATTGCTTTTTCATAAATATTGTTATCTGTTAGTTTTGATTCATAGTCATTTAATTCATCTAACGTACTAAAGGGTAAAATTAAATTTTCTTCTACTAATGAACTTTCAGAAGACCTCTTATTAACTCCTTGATATTCTATTTGTCTTTGCAAGTCTTGGATGTCAATTTTTATAACATCAAGTGTTCGTTGTATACTTTGATACTGCTCTGAAACTATGTATAATATATTTTTTTTAATTACTATTTATTATAATATAAAAAAATATTGTATTGATTATTTTTCATAAAATTATTGAAGTATTTTAATTACTTTCTTTAAAAAAGTGAAAGATCTGATGATATTCATTATTTTGGCTACCACCTATGTCTATCACCTTGTTATCTGACTGAAAAACAGGTGGATGAGTATTTTCAGTATTGACTTGTGAAATAACTGTAAAATTTTTTTTTACATATTTTTTAACAACTCCCTAGTTATAAATATTTGTAAAAATTATTATATATAAACTGAAAAAAGCTCCAGTAACTAGAGAAATATTAAGAACAATAATTTTGAATAAAAAACCTTTTTTGGACAACTCTAATATGTTGTTTTTATAATTTAAGGTATAATGAAAAAAATTATTACCCTAATGGTCAAAGGATCAATAAAACAGACAGGTTCATTTGGTTGTGTTAGACTTTCTTCGACAAAAATAGATTACATTAATAAAAGAATGGAAATTATAGCACCATCTTTAAGCACAGATTTTGTTCGCATACCACTGTCACTAAATAGTTATACTGATTTTAAGGCAACTGAATTTAGACAAATTATGATGTATTCAGGTGCTTTGATATTTAAAGATATAGTGCCTGAACCAATTTATAAGAATTTTATTGCTTTTTACTGTGCAATGCGAATCCTTGCATCACCAAAAGCAACAGAAAAAAAAGAAAATGATGTTGCAACATCATTAATTAAGTACTTCTTTCAAACATTTGGTATAATTTACGGGCCATTTTTAATATCATATAATGTACATTCCTTACTTCATCTTCCCAACGATGTACTAAAATATGGTAACATCAATTACTTCAATGCTTTTTGGTATGAAAACTATTTGGGCAGATTAAAAAAGTACTTAAAATCTGGACGTTATGCTATAACAGAAATGTATAATAGAATTACAGAAGACAGATCAGCACGTGATGAAAAATTTTTACTTACCTCAAAAGATTTTCCCATTTATAGAGAAAAACATAATAATGGACCTTTACTACATATAACAGGAACTTATGAACAATTTATGTGTATTCAATTTGAACATTTTAAAATACAAATAAGAACTAAAGAAAAAAGAAGTAAATTTACCCATCGTGATGATTGTATAATAGTGAAAGACCAAAATATTATTATATTTGTTGTGGAAAATCTTGTTAAACAAAATAATTGTATGCACTTTGTAGGGCGGAGATTTCTTTTCATTAATGAACTTTTCGGCAAGGCTGATGACATCAATATTTCATCATTCAATGTTGGGGTATATAAATGTAAAAGTTTGGGACAACTAGAGATCTTTACTTTTAATCATGAAAACGGTTTTAATAAAGCCTGTATAGTATCAAATCCACTACACAATGATGTGGAGAGTTTTGTAGTTTTTAAAATATTGCATACATGAAATACTTAGTAATATGAATAAAACATTTTTAACTGTTAATGTAATCCTTAGTTGTAGTATAAACTTCAAGACATCATTTGCATTTTTCATATTTATTCCAACATACGAGAAAATGGAATTAAGTTTGTAGAACTACTTATGATTAATCTTTAATAGTTTATATTAATTAGTAAATGCTAGTGACGATTGCTATACGTATATAAAAAATTAAGCAAAATACTCGAAATGGATAAAAATGTTGTCGTGATATAACATTGACTATGAATTATTATTGATAAACGGTATTGATAAAAGTAATTTGTAATAAACACACGACTTTTATACCACGGTAAATTACGCTTAGTTTACAATAGCTAGTTTATAATTTACCAAAATGTTTCACCAATTAGTTTTTGAATATACAAATCTTTTTTATATACAAATCAAATTTTATTAGGGTAAATAACGTATTCATTAATGAATATATTACTATTTTCTAATATTAGAGAAAGTAATTTAAAAAACATCAAACATAAATATATACATATATATATATATATAACGAATCAACGTTGAATTATTGTATAACAAACAAATTAATCTAAACATTTTTTTTTTTTAATATACGCTTGAATAAACGTAAAATAAACAACTTCCTTCCATCGTAATATATACCAACTATTATCTGGCGAAAACATGTTGTTTCATTGTATAATTAACAGATAAATATAAAGAAAAATTTGCTTAAAAATATACCGTGGATTAAACATAAAATCCACTATTTATAACCGTCGTATTAGTTGCATTATACACCATCTAATAATTAGCTGAACGATAATTAATTATTAAATAATACGAAAAAAAAATATAAACCATCCACAGCTTTAAAATACACGGTGGATTTAGTGTTTACAAACGTATATTCCACAATGATGCACACTGGGTAATAACCAAATTGCCGACGCTGTATAAACAGGACCTGAAAGGAAACCATTTTTAACTGAAAAAAATTCATGTAATATTGATATTAACCATACTCCCTTAATGTTGTCCAAAATACTCTCACATCTGTAAAAGATAAAAAATCCGAGCAATACTGTGCAATAAGCATGTATAATTGAAGAGCCTTACACCAAACAAGATAATTCCATTTTTTAAAACTTTTGAAAGCCAAAATATTAAAAAACGTATATTTATCATATAGTTTAGGTAATTATTTAATTTTAGATAAATATATTCAATGTTTTCATCTTAACTATGAACGTTCAAAATCTGAATTTGAAAAATAATACAGTTATTTTATACATGGAGCCTTTTAGTTTATCAACTATTTTTTATATAGCTTCATATTTTAGTTTCAATGCGCGTAATTGAGAAGCTATTGATTTTACTCTACATGTTTTTTTGTGCCCGTTATACGCGATTAGTTCCTTTTTCTTTGGCTTATCACACTTTAAATGTGTAATCTGGTCATAGTATTTTTGTTTTATGTATTCAGTAATTACCAAGTAACGGATCAAATATGTACTGTTATGTACCGGTCCAAACTATGGTCTATTCAAGATAATAATTTACTATTGTGATAATTGCTGGGATAAATCAGTGGAAAATGATCTAATGCTAAAGATCAAATGAATTCGTTAATACGGTAAAATGAGGACTAGAGATGACAAAACATAAATTGAATAATAGGTGCAGTCATTAATCTATGGCACGTAATTCTAATCAATTGTTTATAACTGTATAACAAGGGTACACTTGCGTTTATTATGGTCATAAGTATAAAATTAAGTATGATTTGTATAATTAATTAACTCCATTAATTATTCTACTCAATTTAAGATATTATTGACCGGCGAAGCGGATATTATAAGGCAGTCGTTATCGTCAACTTATACATAAAACGACTTAAAAATTTGTATTCCTAACGATATGCTTTTTTGAAAATTCAATCATTACTTAAAGTATTTTGGGGACTTAATAATCATATAATAATTTTTTCTTTTTAATTGTGATGTTTTAACAAATCTATCTTCTTTAAACCAGAGTGTTTGATAATGATTGGCACCACTGCTAGGTGGCCAGCTCTTATCAACAACCGGTTATTTCGGCTGGCCGATATGTTTGAGTCATGAGTAAACTTGTTACTTGTGTACACATTTAGTCAGTTCATAGAAGTTTTTGTTTAAAATAATCAGCTTTTTCGATGGTGTTCAATAAAATTTGTTTTTTCGTTTTGCGATTAAGTATATAAAAAATAATTGTTAATTTTTTAATTTTACTATTCATTGTATTTGTAAAAATTCACTTGAATATTAGTCAGTATTGCGTTTGTAAAACTACAGTAGAGTTATTATCAATTCAGTATTATTATTGTGCATTATGATCAAGACGGTGATATATTAATTATGTTAATTTTATGAAATATAAACAATTCATGTCGAAGTTTAATTTTACTTTCAGGTAAAATTTACTATAGTTATATATGTTCATTTATTACTTTCAGTTACACAGATGACAGTTGTTATTATTTAAATCAGTAATTTATTGTGTTATACAGCTAACCATGGTCATAATTGTGCCAAAACGACACTTATTAATTAAATTATAATTATTTATTGAAGTTTAATTTCATTGTTTCATTAATACACTCAACAAAATCAAATTGTGATCCAACAACCTATTAATAATCTTAAAATTTGATTTTAAAATAAGTTCAAAAAATAAATTATTATGTTCTTATACTATATAAGGTCAAATTTTAGATTTGAATAAGTTTTTTAAAGTTATTTTATATTTTTGTCTATAACTTAAAAAATTTTAACAAAATTGATATAAGTAAACTAACTAATTAGATATGGTAAAATTTCCAAAATCATGATTGTTGGTACAATTTTTGGTAAAATAGCTGATTTAGAAGTTTTTAGCATAGAAAATAAACATTATACCATTCAAAATACACTTAAATTTAAGGTTTTTATTTTGTACTATATGATTAAAAAAAGTAAGGCATTCTGAAGACTTGTTTTCTATGTGTAAACGGTATCTTAAAAGGATAATTATGTAATTTTTGATTGATATTATAATAAACTGATTTATTTGAATAATACTTGGATGTAAACAATATTTACAGTGGTAACATTTCAGATAAGTATCTTTATTCTACTTATTTTTTTATTTTGATATAATTAAATTCCATTTACTGCATTTCTACTATATTTTACTTTTTTTATATAACTTAATACATTTTAGTAATGTATATACAATTTATTCTGAGTATATAGCCTTTTTCATCATTTTAATTTAAGATCTTTGTTATAATTATTACTATTATATATAGACAAAGCAAAATAAAACTGAAATAGGAAAGAATAAAGTATAGTTACTTTAATATCTATTAAAACTATTATATACCTTACTTAGATTATCATATTACTAGTAATTAACCAATATTTTTCAAACTAGTTAGTAGATTGTAGTATATCAATCAATTCTATACACAAAGTTTAATAAGAATAAAATTTATCTTCATACAGTTTTTAATTTTTAAAATGAATAATATACATGATATTTCACAAAAAATAAATATAATACAATATAGTACTTGGCGTAACAGTAAATTTGTAATGTTTTTAACATCAGTGTACACAATATAACAAAGGTAACAGTTTTAAACAATCAAGTACTTAACATAAATAAACAACATTTTAGAAATAATAATGACTCAGAAAATTCAACTGTTCACATATGCTAATTAGTTGGATCATTTTAAATACATACACATATATATATATATTCAAATATATAAATATTTTTAATTCCACACAATATCTTTCATTATTCAATGATTATAAAAATATTTAATCAAAACTTATTAGGAAACTACTGCTATTTAATTAAAATTAAAATGAAATAATATCACATAAAATTTAATTTGTTTTACATTAAAATATATTCATTGTTACATCAGATCAATGCAGTCATATTTATAATTTACATAAAAAAAATAATAATACTATTTGCAACCAATAGATTACTACAACAAACATAATATAAACACAATAATAAATACATTTATATATAATATAATATAAATCTGTAATACAATAAACAATCATCAACTTTATGTAAAACACATTTTAACTTATAACTTTGATAAAATAATTTAACAATATAAATAGTAATAGAAATTAGAATTATATATTTTAATATTATTTTTTGTGTTTATATATAGTTTCATGTTATAATAGACTAGTTAACTTGCAACATAATAGTGATAAATTGTAATACAACAATAGAAAAATCAAAACAATATTTAGCTGTTTAAAAAAGTAACAATTATCACAATATTTATAATAAAATTAAAATTAGAAAAAAAAAAAAATGTACAAAAGTAATATTTGAAGATTTATGTTACGTTTAACTAGCTAGAAACGTAATACTAAAAGTGAACAGTTTAAAATTGGAATGTATTTTTTTTTAATAATGTGTACAAGCATAATACACTCACTCACATATACACACACGCACAAACACTCGCACACACAAATACATATATGTATACACAAAAAAATAAAGAAAGCCAAATTATGTCATATAATCTAACTATACCATGAATTAACTAAAATAGATGGATCTTTGAGAACACTTTGATATTTAATAGATCAAGTTTCCTTTTAAAATATTATGGAATTTGAAAGCAACATACATTCATCTGCATAATAAAAATATACATTTATTTATGAATTTCTTCGTTGTCATCTTCTTCCATAGGTTCTTCACAGTTATCTGAACTTTTAAGAAGGAATTAAAAATTAATTTTATCACACTAAAAATTATAAATTTCTATTTTAAAATCCCAAAATATTTAAACCTTTAACAGAACCGTAGCAAGGAGGAGCACAATAGGTACCCACACCCTGGTTACATTTGAAGAGGTACAAAAGTTAATAAATTAGAAAATCCCTAACAAAAAATAAACAAAGTAATGTGTAATTATAATTAAAGATAAAAAATAACTATATGGTTGAACAAAGATAACAGTATATTATCTGACCAAATAATGTTTTTGATTGAGTCTTAATAATAAAATAAAATTTGTTTTTGTTTACTAAAATAATACGACTATATAATTAAATACCGCACCTGACCAAAAAAGTGAATATTTTAGCCTTTCTTTTTTTAACACGCTTATATTAGTTTCACATGTATGTTGTGAGTTGTGTGTAACTTTCCATGTGCACGTTTCTACGGCCTTGAGACTAGATGATCGTAACGCATTCACCCCACCCAGCTCACCACTCATCGATAACAATATTTTCCAACCCGTAAATGCACGCATGTCATCAATTATATATATATATAAATAAATTTTTAACTTATAATTTTGAAAATGTTCATTATTAATAAAAAAGTTTAAATATTTTCAGGCTTAAAAAATTTTCTTCTAAATATTCATATAATGCTTTTTCATTAAATTAAAAAAATTTTATGCTAAAAAAAAAATAGCACTTACTGAATTCGGTGTCTAGTCATAGATAAAGAGGCCATAGCACTGACCGTATCATTCTCTTCGCAAATTGTAGCTTCAATTGCACTACATGCCACGGTGTGAACAAAGTTTTTAAGAATAGGCCAATGAGGCAACTAAAAAATATATATTAAAAGTAAACTAATAATAAATGTCTTCTTCTTTTTCCCTCGCCATATCCCAACTACTTGGAGTTGGCAACCCTATTCTAAACTTCCAATTGACACAATCTCCCACATCATCTGTCCTCGTATCACATTTGATTACATCCCTCAATCTCTTTTAGTCTTCCTCTACCTCTTCATCCTTTAACATTCATTTCTATAACTGTTTTTACAATTTCTGATTCTCTCTTTTCATAACATGACAGTCTAAGTCTATTTTCGCACATCTTATCTACGATTGACGCTCACCTATACTTTATCTTATATGTTCGTTTTAGTCTCCTAAAAGACTAAAATAAACATATCATCTCTAGTCACTTCACTCATCCATCTAAGCATTTTCATCTCTACTTTTTCTTTTTTTCCCTAAACTTTTCTATTAGATGCTGCGATATAAAAAATAATGGCTTCATTGTTGACTTACCAGGCTGTTAAGTGGTAATCCAAACTGGTTTTTAGATACCTATGTCTCATTTCTTATTCTCTTATCTATACCTTTTCTCAAATTTTTATACTATGACATAAGCTTTATAACTATAATATCCACACTCATGTATGTCTCCTTTATCTTTCAATATTGAACCACAATACTATTATTCCATTCATTTGAGATTTTCACTTCTAATAAGATTTTACTTAAAGGATACTTCAACCATCTTATGTCAACACCGTAATAATAAATGTAACAATATTATTAATTTACTTGTATGGCTATTGTTTTTTGTAATGTGATAATAGCATTTTGACAAGGAGTACGTCGAAGTTCTGCTTCAAGAATTGGTGTCACATCTTCTTCAAGTAAAGCTCGGACACATTCTTCAGCACTATCACAAATGGCAGTTAAATCATACCCACCTTCAAGAGATAAAACCACTTTTCCATCAGCTATTTGCATGAGCTGTTGAGTCATGTATGCAAAACAAGCAGGTGTTACATTATAACCACCAAGAGGAGCAGGATGACCAGATGCTGCATCAAACCCAGCAGATACTAAAATTATTTCAGGAGCATATGCCTAAAAAAAAAGTTAATTATACAATAAAACATTTAGATAATCTTTATTAAGTAAAAAAATGTTTACTTTTGTAATAGGTATAACAACTGATCGGAAAGCAGCTAAATATTCGGCATCACCTAGTGGTGGCTGTAAGCCACCACTCCAAGCAATATTAACATTGTATCCTAAACCACTTCCAATACCGCACTTATCAAAATAAAAATAATTATTTTTAATTAAAATTAAGTAAAATGGTTTTTAATTTTTGTCGAAAATTACTTCTGATGGTGCACCAGTTCCTGGAAAAAAATTACCATCATCATGGCGATGTATTGATAAGTATAATACCCTTTGATCCTCGTAGAATATTTGTTGTGTTCCATTACCATGATGCACATCCTTTAAAAAAAAATCATAAGTCAAATGAACTTTTTGTTAACTTAAACAGGATAAATACCCAGTCAACCACTAGAATTCGTCGAACATCTTGGCGCTGTTGAAGTAAACGACAAGCAATAGCAATTGAGTTGAAAAAACAAAATCCCATAGCTTGATTTGCTTCTGCATGATGTCCTGGAGGTCTAACAATAGCAAATCCATTTTTAATGTCACCCATGACAGCTAAACATATATCATCATATTGAATAATATATTTATAACATAAAAACTTAAAGTAATTTATTACTTTTGAAAGCTAAGTCAACCACACAACCAACGGCCATTCTAGCTGCTGAAGCTGTATGGAGCTCATTCCAAGTGGTGTCTGAATCAACACCTAACCCACCACAAGGTAATCGAACTAAACTTTTTAATGGCAACTCAGCTAATTTTGCACTATCAATTTTTTGACGATTCAATGGATTAGTCCCTATAAAATTTGTATTAAAGTACTACATAATGGATGAAAAAAAAAAAAATTTATATGTACTAAGTTATTTGACTTTAGAGCATATCTAGCATCTGTTTAATGATTAGGTTATAACCCTGTAAGCTAAAGAAGTCAGGGTTATGTTTATACCTAAACCTAACTGTGCTTACTACTATGAAACAAGTTTTACAGACCAATAAGTCTCACTTAATTTCTTCTTCTGAGTTTTAAGCAGAGGTAATGGCAATACTAATAGGGGCTCAAAACCTAGTATTCAAAAAAAGCAATTATAATATCCTCAGTGACAGTCAATGTGCTCTAAAAACAATTAGTAATAACCACATGATTTCAAGGTCAGTCCTTCAATGTAGAGAAACGTTAAAATCACTAATAATGTTCAATGGAGTTACACTAGAGCATGGGTACCCAGACATAGCAGTGTAACTGGTAATAAAAAAGCAGACTTTCTAGTGAAGAAACTTACCAAATAATAGAGTATGGGGTTCAGAATGACAAGTCTGCAACTCTTCTAATGTAGCTTTACGTGGTCTTAGTCTATCACATTTCCTAGCTAATCCTGTTTCAATAAGTCTAGCCCACACACTTTGTAAACGGCCACTATGTTCTGGATGTAATGAGTTATTACCACACTTACAAGCATGTTTTAACATCAAACTATCAAATGCTAAACCTGTAGTAGGCCTATGAGGACTTCTAAAAGTTGAATATAAATTTTAGGAAATTAATAAAACAATAATATAACTTCTATATTATTTAGATATAAAATTTACCCTGCAAGTTTGTGCATAGAAGAGTGAATACTAGAGGACTGATAAGTTGATGTACTGGAATTATCGGAGGTTATTATACCACCTACATTAACACCAGCAACCAAAGGACTTGAAAATGTTTTAACTAGAGGAATAGCAACATGAGGATTCCTGTTTGTAAAAGCTGCAACTATCATGCATAAAGTATTAGTACTTAATTAATAATTAACATTACATTATACTTACTGTCATTGGATTGAGAAGTTTGCCGCATCATTAAATCCCGTTGCTGTTGAAGAAATGTTTGACTTTTGTTCTTTATACCATTATCTGTCAATGTTCGAGGACCACCAGTTAAATCAATTACCTATTTAATTAAATTGTTCATATATTAAAACATATAACATTATAAATTAATTATGATTAAAATTACTTTAGGATCATCTTCTTGATCTTCATTTATTAAAGTACTGGTAGCTAAATGAGCTCGACTACCCACTCTTGTCAAAACAGTATTTCGAATTTGCTGTAATAAATTAAATTGATTAACATCTATATATTAATTTGATGAACATTTATAAGTTTTACATACTTGTTTTAAATAATTATGAGCACTAATTTGTTGTTGTAAAGGTTCATAATCTTCATAATGAATTCCTAAATGATGACCAGATGTCATATTATTTAACATTGGGTGTCCAAGAGGTAATGGAGCTGACTGGGTTCGACCCAGAGGTCTATGACCAGCTTTGTTCAATCGAGCATGAGCTACCTGAGTATCAGTAATAGGTGCAGCATGAAATGAAGGAGCAGCTGATTTAGATTCTAAACTTTGAATTTGTTTTTTAATCAAATTTTGAGAAGTATCCAATACTGAAAATTTAAGAAAAAGTCAATAACTAGTACAATACTAAAATTTAACTTGCTTACAAGGAAGTGTGGGGTAATAAGGTAATGTACTAGATAACATTTGACCTGTTAATGGAACACCTAGTCTTGCGGTAAAAGCTGCTCTAACTTCAGCTTCTGATACTGAAGTTAATAATTTTGATCCATCCTTAAAAAAATATTATAAAATGAATTTGTTTCATATTAAAAAAAAATTATAATTAAATGATTACTTAAAAAAACATAAATTTATAAAATTAAATTTGAAAGAATGTATAACATTTTATTACCGTATTTGATGGAGGTCTACCCAATGATATATTAGGCATAGAAGGACTTGTATATAATGCAGAGAGATCAGCAACACTGTTACTTTGTTCAGCATTATTATTTGACATATGACCAAATGTCATATCTGATTCCTATCAAACATAATTATTATAAAAATTATAGTGATCCGTTTATCATAAACCACTTGGTTACTCACAAAATAAATACAATATTATAAAACAAATTTTTGGTTAGTTTTAGTTATATATAATTCTTGATTTATCATCTAAAAATTACTTAAATAGAAATCAAAAATTATTTTTCCAATATTGTATTTATTTAGTAAGTAATCAAGTGGTTTATGATAAACTAAAATTAACTTAGGTATAGACAATATAATTACTTCTTTAATAGGAGTTGTGGCTCCTATCGAAGGTGAATTTCGACAATTTGATACATTTATAGGTGGAGAATTTGGTCCAGAACCAGGCGTACTACCAGATGGTGAAGTTTCTACTGTAAATGAAAAATGATAATTAACTGTATTAAAAAATAAAATGTTGGCTAAGAAGTAGTAGGCAAACTGGTACAGTACTTGCTAATTTAGACACTTTGTTGGTGATACGATCTTTAGGTCGTGAAATTGGATTGTTACGTCTGTCGAACATGCGCTGTTTCAGTCTGATTTTGAGCAAATTTGGTTCGGATGCTACATGCAATAATATAACCAGCACACACACAAGAAAAAACACACTAAGTTAGTGATATAGATACAATACTTTTGTTATAATTAACTAATTTAAATACTTTGTTATATTATAATACTTAATTTAGTGTGCTATTGATTAATACTTTCAACAAGAAAATTATTAAAGAAGTTAAATAAAATTTAAACTTATTAATAACCCAAAATATTATGTTATAGGATAACTAATTTAATAATACTTATAGGATAAACTCTTATAACTCGACTATAGATATTTATAATCTAGACTATAAATCATTGATTTTTCAATAAATTTTATCATTTAGGAACTAACTTAAATATATTTTTTTCTTCTATCACATTTTTATACAGTAAGAATTATCAATATATCATTTTATTAATAAACAAAAAATTCCTTTCAATTTTAGCTTCGATGCGAAGCTGATTTTATTGATGTACAGAATAAAATAAAGTTTTTTTATTTTCACACTAATTCCTGTTTAAATATAAGTTAATATTTAGTTGTATTAATTCAGCACAAGTAAAAAAATAATTATTATTAATATTGGCATTTTAGATAAAAATTTTAACCATTAAAATTACTAACAGATATCAAGTTAATTTTTAATTCAGAACAGGCTTAAAAACATTAAAAATTTTAATTGATATTTTACCAGTTTTTCTTAAAGGAAAATCATCTTCGTAACGTCCAACAAGTCTGTATGGTGTTATATTTGATCCGCTAGAAGAAGGACTTAAACTACTCGGCATCACATTAGGTTCAGACTGTTGAGATTGTAAAACACCCCTATATAAAGTTAATTACATTAAGCAATAAAGAATAAGCTCAGTATTTTAGAATAAAATTACCAGCCAAGGTATTGTTGCTGGGGCTGTGAAGAACTGCTAGACGCGGCTTCTCTATGTTTTTTACTAAGTAAAAAACCCTAAAAGAAAATAAAAAAATATAATTATAGATAAGTGTAGCACAAAAATAAATTGTTTATATAGTTAGGAAAGTTTTTACTTAATGTAGAAAATGAATGAACTATTTAACAGTAAATAAAATTAGGTAAAAATTATATCATAAAATTGAAAATTAATTAGACAAAAATTTCTAGAACATGTCTGAATAATTAGATGTTCAAGGATCAAACTACATCCACTGATCATTTATCTCTTTGTCAGTTTATTTATTATTTTCATTAATACAAAGAAATCAACAACGTTATTGACACACGAGAAAAAACATTTCCTATGTTCAATTTACTGGTTTTTCAGCACATAAGTTTATTACAACTTTAATATTGGCAGGAGCATAATGAAGGATGGGGGGCATGTATTGTAAAAATAAAAATAACTACACAGTAAAGATTTAATTTTTGATAATTTAAAAGAGGGAATGAAAATCGCTATCTCATATACACCCCCCTTCAGGACAATACTCTTAATATTGAATATTGTAAATCCTTCACTTAGAAAACTTCAACATCAATCACTGTTAACTACATATTCTTTTGACAACATGTTAAAATGCCTTCATGCTTCAAGTTCAGTATACAACACTGATATTTAAATATAAATATAGTGGCGTAATTATGGAGTCAGGAGGTTATAACTCCTTCAAAATTATTAGTAATAATAAAACACATGCTTCCAACTATTGATCCATGGTATCACTTGAATTGAAGTTGAACTTCAAACGAGACAAATAATCTTTATAAAGGAAGAACTGGTATTATTTTTAAACCCGTCTAGATAAGTGAAACATAATGATAGTATTTTAATTATCATAGATCCAAGTCAACACACTACAGACTTTAGAAACATTTAATGGGTAAAAATCTAGTAAATAAATTGCTAAGTATGAAGAAAAATAGAAGTAGGCAGCTTTCAAGAAAAATATTCTGCGTAAGAGTTTGATCTAATTCAAAAATATTTCGTACATTAAATAAATTAGATGTCAAATATTTTTAGTTGTTGTTAACCAACAATTTTACAATAAAAAAATTCTTTTAAATTTAAAATAATCTGAAGCAATTGCGTAACAAAAATTTTTCAGAAATGAATAGCATGCACACTTGAATAGAGTACATTTTTTTAGATAACAACACAAGAAAAAAAAACTTGAAATTTTAAATATACAAATGTTTGCGCAGTAATTACGAAATAATGGCAAGTAAAATTTAACCATAACAATGTAATTTTAGATAAAATTCGACAGAAAGATCTGATAAATGTTATTAAAAATTTTTCTTCTACAAGTTTGTTTATGAAATAAATAAATTCTAGAAAATATATTAATAACTTGAATTCGGCAAACACATGATGTATTTTATTAATTTTCGTGGAATGTCTAAAAAAAAAAAAAAAAAAAAAAAAAAAAAAAAAAAAAAAAAAAAAAAAA